TCCATCGGCGGTGGCCCCATCGATCTGAAGCTTAAGGAGCTGCGCGACTACTTCATGACCGACGCCATTTCGCGCGCCTCGCCCACCATGGCCAAGTGCATATCGGCGGTCAACAAGCAGCAGCGGGAAAACGAGGCCAAGCAGAGTGTGGCTATCTAGGCGTCCACCCTCGCGTCAGATCTAAACTAATAACTAATTAATGTTTTTTTTAAACTCTGCTCTTCGACCTTTCGCGCCGCACTCCCCCACATACTAATGGACACGAAGACAGCAGGACGAGCTGCAGGATGAGCCAGCGCAGGAGCGGGATGAGGAGCAGGATCGGCGGCTGCAGAGGCGCCAGCGCTGGGCCAGTTGTAAATGAGAAGTCTTACGTTGTTCAAAACAAAGGAGTTATTCAATACGAGAAATAGGAAAACCAAAATAAAAATGTAATAGAAAATATCACGGACACGACTTCTTACTGGGACTCAGCGTGGGTATATTGGGCAGTTCCGACACGCTGGACTATGCTATTGCCATCTCGCTTTGTTTCGTGGCCTCCAATCGCAAATACCTTGGGTCTTCCTTCAATACTCAACTTTGATCACTGCTGATTCCCTAATGATTCTTGAATCCACCTCCTCGCTGTTCAGAAACTGATTGCATCAAACGAGGCTTGAGAACCGCCTTAATTCGAATTAGATTTGCTGGACGATTCCAGGACCATAAACTTGAACCTTTGCGTGCCTTTTATTGCACCTTTTCACGCACTGTTTTCCGTTTGAGAACTTAAGTACCATTGTGTGCACGACCCAGTGATAAATGTCCAGGGTGCCATCATTCCTGGCTGATTAACAGCCGCGTTCCCCTAACAAAGCCATTAGCAATTAGTCTGGTAGCTAACCAGTGGACAGAGTTGCAGCCCAAATCGATTCAGCCAAGTCAATCCATTTGCATGGCCACTGAAGGTGCGCACTTAACTTGACTGACTGCCGGCTTGATTTAAAAGTTAGAGGAAGGAAGCAGAATAAATACTAGACTCTGGTGTGTTGGTGAAAAATTATATTTTTCAACCGTACGTTTAGGGGATTTCATAGTTAATTTCATAGGTTCAAACAAATTCAAAATTTTGAGTGCATGTCGGCGGCGCAGCAGTCGTGGGTTGGGCTGGTCGCGCGGGGAGTTCCACTGGTGTCGTTCCACCCGCCATCGCTGCCCAGTGCCCCTCCCTTGCGCAGAGCTATTGTGTGGGTGTTAATTGTGGAAACTAAACGGAACTATTGAACTCTTCGATCGCTGGGCTGCGACAGCAGCCATTCATCTACGGGAATTCGGGTGGAGGAGGCGGCTTCGACGCGTCCCAGGCGGCTGAGCTGCGTTCCCGCTTTAGCTGCAGCAGCTGGCCGGGGTGGGGTCCAGACCGGAGCGCTTGGTGATGGCCAGCCGGGTGAACTCCTCGGCGGTCGTGGGATGGATGCCCACGGTGTTGATGAGCGTGTTAATAGTCAGGCCGGACTTGAGGGCGGCAGCGAATCCCTGGATCACCTCACCGGCCACTGGGCCAATGTAGTGCAGTCCATAGACGCGCTGGTCGCCATGGCGCTCGGCCACAGCCTTCAAGTAGCAATAGCGTACGCTCTTCTGGGGAATGAAGAACTCCGTGGGCTTGTAGTAGCCGTGGAACACTTCGATCTCATCGGCTCCATACTGCTTGACGGCTTCCTCCTCGCTCAGGCCGACGCAGGCATACTCCAGCGGCGTGAACACTGTGGTGGCCACATCATTGTAGTCCATGCGCTGGGTAGCTCCGCCGTACAGGCGGCGGGCCAGCAAACGACCAGCGAGAACGGCGACGGGCGTCAGCTCTGGCTTGCCGTAGATGATGTCGCCTACGGCGTAGATGTTCGCCACATTAGTGGCCTCCTGGGAGTCCACTGGAATCTTGTCCTTCTGCACAGTCACGCCGGCATTGGGCAGGTTCAGATCGTCCACCAGACCCTTGCGGCCAATGGCCCACAGAACGGTGTCAAAGACATCCTCGGCCTCCTCGTCGGTCTCCACGTTCTTGTACTTCACGAGCAGCTTGCCATCATCCTGCTTTTGCACAGACAGCGGCACCGATTTTCGCAGGAAGGGAATGCCGCGCTCCTCCATCGAGGCTGCCACCAGCTCAGCCATCTGCTGGTCAAAGCCACGCAGCACAATAGAACGGACCATCACAGTGGGCTCGTAGCCGAGACCCTTTAGGAATCCAGCGCACTCCAAGCCAATGTCTGTGTGAAGGAGGGGAAATCGAATGGGTTATTTATCAATTCCATGTAAGCAGATGCAAGTCTGTACTTACAGCCAGCTCCCACCACCAAGGTCTTGCCGGGCTCGCGGTCCAAGCTGAACAGATCATCGCTGGTGATGCCATACTCCACAGCACCGGGAATATCCGGATAGCGTGGTCGGCCGCCAACGGCAATGACGAAAGTCTGGGCGGTGATTGTGCGCTCGCCGCTCTTCAGCTTGGCCAGCAGGGTGTGCGAGTCCACGAAGGAGCCCAGTCCATTGATGTACTCCACTTTCCTGAGGGCGCATAGAAGGGTGTAATTAGTGGGGGGATTCTCGAGCGGAAGCCATATAGCAACACTTACTTGTCGCGCAGATCCACACGGGTCACCCAGTTGACGGACTTGATGTGGTTCTGTACGGACTGCACCAGCTTGTTCCAGTCTGGCTTGATCTTTTCGTTCACGTTCCAGCCATAGGCGGCCGCCTCATGGACAGCCTCGCCCAGAAGCGAGGCCTGGTGCATAAGCTTCTTGGGAATGCAGCCCACGTTCACGCAGGTGCCGCCAACGCCCCATTTGGTGCCCAGAGTGGGCGTGGGCTTAACGTAATCCAGACAGGCCACGCGGGCTCCATTGAGAACCGCCTCCTTGGCGCAGGCCAGGCCAGCTGATCCGCCTCCAATCACGATAAGGTCGTAGTCATAGGATCCTGGAGGAGAAAGTACGGATTCGTTTGGTTATTTATCAAGTTCTATGGAAAATGCATCCGCTTAATTACACCCCGTTGTCTATAAAAACATGTAAAGAGGCCAAGAGGTCGTAGAACATGAGGAGCCTTCAGGAAATCTAATCGCTACACGGCTAAATCACCTTGTATTCATGAACACTTATCACCGATTGTAACATCAATAACGATGTTGTTTTGGCATACTGAACCAGTATCTAGATTAATTGAAAATCCCTATCAGTGATAAGTAATGATAATAATTAGCCGTGTGCTTCCAGCTACTTAAGTTCCTCTCTAGCTTCACTCATGGTTATGGGTAATCCCCGCCTGCCTTTGGTGGACTCCTCGCGCAGTCGAATGTCCAGATAGGCGGATCGGTAGATGCTCCTCCGGTGTCGTGGTTCACCCTCGACCAACTGGGAAGCCGGTATGAATTCGAACAGATGCATCCAGACCGAAGAGGCTCGAAATCAAGACTGTTTGGCCTCCTGCAATCCGTCATCTGCACCGTGCAATCCCGTCGAGCTCCTTGGCTTCAGATGCCAGGTAGCGATAGTGCTGCCGAATGCCACATGCCGCTGGGTCGGAGAGCTCGAATCAAAGTGGAGCAATCATCTAGCGACGTCGCCACACACCAAGCCACGCCTGGCCACGCCTCCCGTCCGTTCACCCACGCCCCCATTCGGTTTGCTTTGACCCGCCGGACTTTGTCATGGTTACGCCCCAAATCTAGTTGGCAATAAAACGCACACAGTTGGCTTTTATCGGACGGAACACCCATCCTGGCCAGGAGCATGGGAAATCGGGTGCCTATGTACATGCGAATGCGAATAAACAATTGTTGTCGTCACACTGCACCCGATTGCGGAATGAAATGCTGATGACGCAGCACAACAATGATGATGAAAGATCAAAGACGTTGGCTCGTCGAGCGGCGATTCGACAGATACTAAATACAAAACACAGATAAGTGAAATGCACCCGAGTGATATGGTGAAATCATCATCATCATAAAGCGGTTCTCGAACATTCCGCAAAGGGTTATTCGTTCAAGAGCACCGCGTCCCACGGAATTCACTCAAATGTATGTATGTACAGATGTTGGGGCTATAATGAAACCAATTATACACTCAATTGCCATTTGAAATCATAATATGCAATATCTAAGTGTAAATTCTCCGATTGTTTTCAGAAATAGAAGCAGACACGAAGATCGATTGGCTAATTATTCATTAACAAGAAAACTTGATCTTGGAATGGTGATTTAGGTATATATTATATTGTAAATGAAAGCATCAGATACGTTTAGCATCATATGAATAGATATTAGTTTTTTTACCAGCTGAAGGCAAATTGTCAATACAATGCATATTTCCCATAAATTAAGAAATGGTCTTGTAGCAATAGAAAACGAAATATTAATTCCTTAATTTATATGATGTAATTTTGTTTTGGGGCGCGAACCAAATATATTAATGGTTTAATCTGTAAATGAGTAATGGCTTTTATGATTAATCCTTAAGCCATTCATATGCATCAACTGCGAAAGTATATTCAAAACTTTGTTAACCATTATACTTAGAAGATGTGCTCTTTTTGGCGCCCACAACGATGGCGCAAATCATGTACTTCAGCATGATACGATTTTGAGTGCTCTTCGTGCGACCCCGACTGTACAATTCCAGTTGGACGGGTGCGCGATGACGATTGACGATGACGGTGCAAATGTGAGGCGGCAAATGCCGGTCGGGCATATAAACCCTTGGCGAATACGTGCCGCAGAAACCCGATAAGCCAGGTAATAAGAGCAGAGTAATGGACTTTTTGGCCAGGCAACTAACGGTTATTGCATAATGGCGTCGGTTAAACACAAGAAGGCCCAGAAACAACAACGAGCTAGAAAACCGCGACAATCGACCGCGTTGCCAACAGCGAAGATCTAATCAGAATATCAATCGATATCGACGCTCACCTCCTTTGGTGCTCAGCTTTCGCACCGGCTGCGCGTACATGGCCGTCCTGTCGCAATGTGGATGCTGGAAGGGTGGTGTTGCACCGCCACTAGATCCAATTGAGGAACCCCCACTGGGAGTTCCAGTGCTGTCGCGTGACTCTCGCTGCCCCGGCGAGTTCATGGTTCTCTGGTACGTCGGCTGGACACAGTTCAGACTACTGGATATCCAATTGGGGACCCTTGTTGTCAGTGAGCATCTGTTTTGTATAATGCCAGTATGAGGAGACGTTAAAATCGTCGAGCACTGCCGCACGAACGTAACGGAGATTTTCGAGTTGCACAAGATCATCTTGTTGGCCGATCCCCTTCACCGTTCACTTAGCGTTTCTCTCTTCCCGCTGGAAGCGAAAAGAAACTATTCGCGAAAAGGGCGCAGAAAAACAGAAAAATGACGGCGGAACACAAAACACAAACACGTCGCTGGTTTGGCTGCTGCTTGGGAATGCTGCGAAAGTGGTGGGCATGTAGAGGCGCCGATAAACGGCTACGTAACAGAAGCAGCGAAAGAGAGATGGCGCGAGAGCGCGCGCAGCAAATGCGAATGTTTGGGATAAAAGGGATAGCAAAAGCAAATAAGGAGCATTCATTGGAATGCGCAATTCTAATTGGGATTAAACATAGCGGGCGGGCAACAGTTGTTCTGCCCTATGCCAATTGGAAATGTGCTAAATGCACGTTTGGCAATGCGCAAGTGTATCGATAACTCGCGGATGGTTGGCAACACTGCTGGTCGGACGGAACAGCCGGCCGTCAAATATTTTTTCCCAACATTTCACTATTTTCACGATCGTGTTACGGCACTAAACTCGGTTGATAAGCACGGAGAGATCTGGCTGCGGGTCTGGTGAAATCCACAGAACAGACGGAACCCATATAGTGCCGCCCTTCATTGGTTTTATCTCAAGTACGACGCGATAAGATTTCGAGCAACTCGATCGCAGATCTTCCGAAAAAAAACATGAACTCCATCCTGATAACCGGCTGCAATCGAGGATTGGGTCTGGGCCTGGTCAAGGCACTGCTCAATCTTCCCCAGCCGCCGCAGCATCTATTTACCACCTGCCGGAATCGCGAGCAGGCAAAGGTGAGAGGTGTTTTCTTATTCCACTGTTTTTTCTGTTTGTCCCTCTTTTGAGACGATCCAGTAATCCGACAAAACCGGTGACTCACAACGGACAGCAAAACTACAGAAACTACGCGAACAATCCACAAGAACCACTATTACTAGAACCGCTTTTTAGTCACCATGCATGGTTTAAATGGCTCCAACGGAATTGAATTAACTGTAAAACTCACCTTGCACGGGTGCCATTATTTCGCTTGTTGGTAGCTTCTCCAGATAAATCAGACTGAAAACAAGGATCAACGGGGAGTAGTGAATGTTGTTGTTCTCAACGCGGAAATGGAATAGAAAACTGCTGAGCGTGTTTTAGCGGCTCTCGGCACTCGCGAAAGCACGAAACGAATAAGCGGAGCTAACTTTTGCAATAGCTTTTGTACTTTGGTACGAGCGTGCGAAAGGAAGACGCCAATTCTTGGGCGCGCAGTCTGGCCACACTGGCAGTACATATTTTTTGCACTATTTTTTTTGCACTAACGCGTTGCTTGGGCGCCCCATTTAAACTCCCATTAAATACGCAATTACAGTATCCAAACTGAAATTATGCATATTATGGGCTTGTTAAAAAATTGATTCAAACATCAATTCCTCTAGTACACAGCTCAATCAATTAAATTACGGTTTTAAAATGGTACAGCTCAAAATATTTGTCGCTCTATTCAAAATGAAAATTTTATTTTTTTACGATTAAAAATACGAAAATATGATCTGCATGAAAATGATCAAAAACTGAACTAACTCTGTTAGTCCATAATATAATCCAATTCTTATGAGCCATATCTCCAAATAATTGCATATTAATTCTCTAATAAGGCGCCTTTTATTTTAACACTTACTTTCAAAACTTTGCCCTACAGGAGCTGGAGGATCTGGCCAAGAAGCACTCGAACATTCACATCCTTGAGATTGGTAAGCATTCCGATTTATCAACCGCTGAGCGCTCTCACCTATAGTAAAACTCCCGCGCAGATTTGAGAAATTTCGATGCCTATGACAAGCTTGTCGCCGACATCGAGGGCGTGACCAAAGACCAAGGGCTCAATGTGCTCTTCAACAATGCCGGCATAGCGCCCAAATCGGCCAGGATAACGGCAGTCCGGTCCCAGGAGCTGCTGGACACCTTGCAGACCAACACGGTGGTGCCAATAATGCTGGCCAAGGCGTGTCTGCCGCTCCTAAAGAAGGCGGCCAAAGCGAACGAGTCGCAACCGATGGGCGTGGGCCGTGCCGCCATCATCAACATGTCCTCGATCCTTGGCTCCATCCAGGGCAACACCGACGGCGGCATGTACGCCTATCGCACCTCCAAGTCGGCCTTGAATGCGGCCACCAAGTCGCTGAGCGTCGATCTGTATCCGCAGCGCATTATGTGCGTCAGTCTGCATCCTGGCTGGGTGAAAACCGACATGGGTGGCTCCAGTGCCCCCTTGGACGTGCCCACCAGCACTGGCCAAATTGTGCAGACCATCGGCAAGCTGAGCGAGAAACAGAACGGCGGTTTCATCAACTACGATGGCACTCCGCTGGCCTGGTGAACGATGACGGTGCTAGGTGTAGCTGCATTTTCATTCTATTTGTTAATTGTTGTTGAATAAACTGAACTCTTGAGTTTCCTTTCTGGCGCTCCAGCAGCCCCTTCATTGGCATTCCCGATTGTATTTCGTGGGGTGTCTTAAATGGTTTACATAGAAAAATAATGGATTTTCCAGCCTGCCAGAGAACACATCAATTTGGAGTTCCTTAGCCTAGGCCCTGCATTGGCGGTAACTACATGCTATTTCTGTCTTGGCGGTACCATGGCCACCGGAACCCTGGAAGGATCGATGATGATGCTTTGGGCCAATGGTGGCAGGCGCACGGCATTCGTATTCGCTCCCGCTCCGAATCCGCCCGCATCTGTTCCTCCGGCCGGTGGGTTGTTGGGATCCGGATAGGGAGTCTGGCGCTGTGGTGTTACCATGGCCACGGGACGCGGCGCGAATGCATCATAAGCTGTAGGTATTGGCGGTTGTGGTTGACCCAGCGGAGCACTGGAGGACTTTCCGTCCAATGGGTGGGCCACTCGCTTGCGAAGATCGAGGCGTGGACGACGATTGTTCGCGTTGCAGCTCAAGGACTCCGCCGAAACGGGTGGGGGGTCATTCCAGCCGGGGGTCAGGGAGCCTGTGCGAAGCCAAAGATTAGCCTTTGCCCGATTTGCAAGTGCAACAAGACTTACCTGGAAACGCACCCGATGGCGCTATGATTTGCCCCGTTGGCGGTGGCGGTGGAGCGGTTGCCATCTGCTGGTGGTTATTGCTATTGGTGGCGGAAAGCGGCGGTGTTGGGCCCATTATGGCTTTTCTATACTGTCTCTGTAGCTCCTCTCCTACTGCTGGATACTGCCAAGGAAAACAACACAATTGCAGCTTCACTCAAACAAAAACAAGACTTTCATTGGCCTAAACTTATCGGGCTCTGCGCTACTTCGATTTACTTATCGAAACCTATCGGTGCTACCAGATAGATTTCACGGAAATGCCGCATTTTTTAAAAACTGCATCTTCTTTTTTTCATTTGATTTTTATAACCATTCTGCCACCCAGAAAAACGTCGTCTAAAGTTTATTTTTCTTGGTTTGTCGATTTCTTTTATTATTATTAATATTGTTATTTCATCTGACTTTGTCCGCATTTTTGCGTTAGGGTTACTCATAAATGTCGTTAATTTCGTACAATGGCTATTAAACCGTGCCTATTTTGCATTCCACTTTGTTTTTCTTTAGGTATTTATTTCATATTTAGTTTAGTTTTGCTACACCACACACATACATAAATAAAAACTTAAACAGATTTACTGCACACACATTTGTTATACCTTGTGGACTAAAAAAAAAATTGTTTTTTGAATTTTATTATTATTTGCCCCGCTACCAATTCCGAATTCAATTCAAGTTCTACCAAGCACATCATTTATTAATTCACCAAAGATAAGATCTCGAGTAACTCCAAGGATAATCTGGCATAATCTGACAAATCCAGTCCTAGCAAATGGATCGAAATGGAACTGACAACCGGGGCCGTATATGTAGATTTAAGGTATATTAGATATCATTCGCTTTTAGAATCTTTCAAGTGTTTAACATTGCGTAACATAGTTTGCTATTTTACTTGACCCACACTTCTTTTAATATAAAATTCTGGTTTCATCCGCTGCTCAATGGAATTTGTAAAGATCTCTATATGCACGGTATATCTAGTTAGTTAGTTGTGGTTGGAGTTGGAGTTGAAACCAACTGGATCTGCCGCCCGCCCTGTTCTCTAGACGAATTGGTTTAAATAATTAATTACAACAACATTTACTTGGGAATTACTTTGTTTTGTCGTTTATCGATTTTGTTTTTCTTTCTGATGCCTTAGCCTAAATCATTTTCTTGCCGGCTTACTATTTGCATTCGTTTATTGGGTTTTCCATTATCTTACAGTGCTTAAAGTTGGCTAAATATTTTGTTTTTTCGTTTCCGTTTTTGTTTTTAACAATTTCGCTCGTGGAGTGGTTTTTCTAAGTGATTCTCCTAACTCTCCTCGTCTAACTCCAATTTATTTAATTCTTCGTTTTTTATTTTTGTTTTTTGGCAATGACTTACTGATTTTGTTGTTTCTCTCTTATGAACGGTTTTTATTTTATTTTTATTTTTCACTTTGCTCTTGCATTCGTTTTGTTAAAAATGAATTGTATTAAGTACGCTTCGATTTATAATTTATGTGTATGTATATCCATATAGTATATATTTTATAAAGTAAATAGATTACGTAATTGCAACACTTGCATCGGTATCTGCTTCTGATTCGGTTTCTCTGTCATTTTCTGATTCTGCAGCTGAATTTGAATCTGAATCTGAATGTGAATCTACATCCTTCGGATCGATCTCCCCTCGCACAGCTGCCTACGGATTGTTCTGGCTCTGTTAACATTCGGAGTCACTTATGGGTATTATTACACATTTTATTGGGTACTAGGGTACTATCATATCGATTCTGGCCTTCCTTTGCTGGTTCGTTATTTTACAATTTCAATTTGCCCTTTGAAATTAAGGAAGTGTCCAAGCTTAATTTAAATACAAAAAAAAAAAACATACTTTTACAATATATAAGTTAGTGGTAGTGGTAAAAAAAAGAGCGGAAATGACACAAGAAGCACTTGGGTTTAAAAATCACTGATTTCAGTTACCAGTCCTCTGTGGCATTCCCGAAATCGGTTCATCGAACAGCAAATTTTGTGAACATACATAAAGAGGTTGGAATGCTTTTAAAACAGGGGTACACACAATAAAAACTCGTTCTCTCTAAGACTAAAATGCACATGTGCAACGAATAGTATAAGTATATGTATTTATATATAATATTGGAGGGGTAGGGTTTTAATCGCATCGGCAGGCAAACCGAACTACTGGACTGGAATCGATCCTGCTCTCCGCATAATGGCTCAATTGAAAATTGTATTTACAAAGAGTTTGGGTTGGTATTCATTTCTTGGGTGGTGGATCCTAGGGTAGGTGGTAGTGTAGTGGTAGGGGGTGCTGATGACCCCATTATGACTCGTCGCGATTGTTGTGCACCCACTGGGCGGGCACCCATTGGGGCTCGCGCTCCAGCGAGTTGATCTCGGCCAGCAGTTGGTGGTAGGCGCGCTCCGTGTCGTTGTTAATGATGATCATGTCGAATAGGTGACCCCAACGGGCCTCCATATCCCTGGCCGTGGCAATGATGTCTTTGAGCTCTTCCTCCTGGTTAAATACAATGGATAGGATAGGTTAGGTTATGTTTTGTCTGGCGTTGACGTTCACCCAAACGCACCTTGAAGGGTTCACCGTTGCGTAGCTTCTTTTGGCGCAGCTTGTCCAAGCTGGGCGGCGCCACCAGCACCACATACGGCTTGAGGTCAGAGGCGCGCAGCAGCTTGAGGCTCTGCGGATGCAGGTTGAGCACACAGATCTTGCCGCTGGCCACCACCGTGCGTATGGCCTCCAGTGATGTGCCTGTGGGATATCAGAGAAACACATTAGCCAACAGTCAATCCCCTTAATGTGCAACTAACTAACCGTAGTAGGCCTTCTCGTATTCACCGTGCTCCACAAAGCGGCGCGCCAGAATATCCGCCTCGAAGGCTTGTCTCGTGATGAAGTGGTAGTCCACTCCGGGCACTTCGCCCTCCCTGCGGGCTCGTGATGTATCTACGGAAAACGACAAAGCACCAGGATTACTAAGGGTATTTACAAATCAATTCCAAGGGATGGGTTTGGTGTGAGGCGTGTGCTCGGGTTAGGTGACCTAGGTCTAGCAATGGCTCTGGGATTCGGTGGCTCTGAAGCGCAGCCCTTTACCCTTGACCTGAGCCTTGATCTTGGCCGGTTTGAGCCGCTCCTCCAGCAAGTAGAAGACTGCCCGGCGGAAGAGAGACAGACATTAAAGACGAGCCATTTAAAGCTGGCTGTAGACGATGCAGCAGTTCTGCTCCGTTTACAGCGCTCTTATAGTAGTGGGAACTTGCTTCTAGGACTTGAGGATGGGACAGGAACGGGGTCTTCACTTACGTGGCACTGCGGCGGAGAAACGCTCCGAGTCGGCCATCAGGCGTTGGCGCAACTCATGTCTTCCGATGTTGGGCGGTCCGATGAGGACAATGGGCCGCTTGTGGGTAGCGCGGGGATAGTACAAAGCCACCTCCTCGTAGGTGAGTATCTCCTCCGGATCTGTTTCATCCGGCGCCGTGGTGGCGTACAAGGGATATCTATAATTAAAAATGAAATGTTTGAATGGCAAATCCCTCTCGAGCTGAATAAATATGCTTACCCCGCCTCGGAGCTGGCCTTCTTCTTCTTTTTGCGACCCTTGCGCGCACATAGGAGTGTGGCTCCTTTGCTGCCTGATCCGTCCTTCCCGCGGGACCGGGCCAGTCCCGCCTCCTCCGCAATGGCCAGCTTCATGGTCTCGCGCTGATGCTGGAACGACTGACTAGGAATAAGACCAGCCAGCGTTTGGTCTTCCTCGCCCTCGCGATACGCCTGCCACCAGTTGGGATCCTCGCGGCTGATCACGTGCAGCACATCGCCCTTCTGGAAGCTGATGCCCAGCTCCCGGCAGGGTATATACAGATCGTCCTCTGGATCGTAGTCGAAGTGCGCCCGGACGTGCAAAACGGCGGTGTCGCGGTGTGCTCCACCCAGTCCGGCCAGTTGGCTGCCCGTAGTTCCGCCCATTACGCCGCCGGACGGCGGACTACCCGCGGGAACGATCAGGAAGGTCAGGGTGCCCTGCATGGCGCCCAAAAGGGCGCACACCTCGTTCACCGTCTTGCCACGCAACTCCTGACCGTTGACCTCCAGGATCTCGTCGCCTTCGTGCAGCAGTCCCGACTTCTCCGCCGCTCCACCACGCACAATCCTGCCGATGACCACCGCCTCACCCTCGTTGCGTACCGTGGCGCCCAACGGCTCCGTGGACTTCTCGATCTGGATGATCCGGATGTTGTCGTTCTGATCGTTTAGCGTGCCAAAGCACGCACTCATTGGCAGATTGACGGGCATGGACAAGGGTATTGTGGACAGTGGTGGCATGGGAACCGGTGGTGGCGACTCCCCCCGCGGCAGTGGCATTGCTCCACGTTGCGCCAGTGGGGGTGGGACGACGGGCGGTGGCACCACCATACCTAGGTTTCGCTTGGGCCCAGCCACCGGACTGCTGATTGTGGATCCCGTCGCCACTCCAACTGCCGGAATGGGCGAGTGGGTAGGCGAGGGCGTGCCATCCGTGTGATTGGCAATGCGATCGTGGGCCAGGAGCAGACCCTCCATTTCATGGCTGGTCAGCAGGTTGCCCAGCTCAATGGCCGCTGCAGTATTCGATTGCGTGAGCAGCTCCACGATATCCTTCTGCAATCCCAGGGCACTGTGATGTAGTGGACCAGAGACGCGGGAACGTCGTCGCTGGAGGACTGCGGTGCGAGCGGCCAGGACATGGGCCACACTGGCGCTGGCCAGGACACTGTGAGCAGCCGAAACTCGACCCGCCAGCGTGCTCAGTCCGCTCTTGCTCAGCTGGTTTTGCAGGCGGGTGAGGGCCGCTATCAGCTCGCCATAGCCTGGAGAGGATTAGGGTTAGGATTAGACGGGGACATTGCAGCATAAGATGAGTACTCACCATCAATCTGTTCCGCCTGCGGCTGGTCCTCGTCGGGCAGATATGCCTCATTCTCCACGCCAACCACCTGGGTGGCCACCGTTGCCTGCTGTTGCTGCTGGGCAACCGCTTTTCCGGGCGTGGCCGTATCCTGGAGCGCCTTCAGCTTCCGGGAGCCACGAAGACTATTCCGCAGGAATTCATTTTGCTGCGCTATGCGCTCCTCCTCTTCGCGTCGTCGGCGCAATTGCTCCTGTTGATGGAATCAAATGGAAAGGTTATTTAGCGAATGGCTTCAATTTCGGGGGCATTTCGGGATTTTGAGAAGGAGAAGGGGGGGAGTTGGAGTGCGCAACTGGGGATAGCAACTCTGGGGGTCGACTCTTGAGTGGCGCACTTAATCCGCATTTGCCACAATCGCTAATTTAATTAGTGGCGCCCGAGCAGGGCACCAGATTTCCACCAGGAAGACAAACAAGAACGCGCTTTCAGTTGGGCGGACACCCTGTATTTCAAAACATCACGTGACTCAATTTGAATGTGTGCCAATATTTTAGTAAATAGTTTGAATTTAAATTTGTTCATTTGTTCTCCATGGTCTTGTTAGTCTTGGCACGCAAACATTTTGTCACATAATTTATATGCAAGGACTTCAAACTTAGTGGAGAATCATTCAAAATACAGGTTCTAATTCGGGAATCGTGAATATTGGCCATCGCTTCGATTGAAATACAAAGTACTGTTGGGTATGTACCCTACCCACTTGTAGGGTATCAATGCGGCTGCATTTGCCCAAAACGGACCAGCTCAGGGTGGCGTTCTTTGTGGGCGGACCACCGTGCCCACTGTGCAAACCCAAGCAAATCCCGTCGAGGGCCTTGGCGATGAGTTAATGAGCGTAAAGGGTTGACAAAGGTAACTGGGGACAAAAGCGGAGCTGAGGTGGCGGTAACTGTTGCAATTGTTGCGGAAGCCCCTTAAGTGCTCGCCATTCATCGGAATGGGGCGGGCGTCGGCGTGGGCGTGAAAATGGGAAATCTGAGGGCTGGGCATGGTCAGCCCAGTGGCTGCCAAACTGTCATGGTCACTAATTATGAAAACGTGATTGATTCCCGATTTCGTGACCAACAAAGAGAATAAAATCAGATCGATCACAACAGTGAAGAGCAAAAACACCTCCTTATATATATGTATATTTAACACAAGAAACCAGAACGGCCGCATGATAGAAAGAAGGAAAAAACCTAATTGAATAACAACAGAAAAGGCGCTTGACATTCCAAAAGGCGGAAGAGGCCAGCAGCAGAACAGAACAAAGCCGAAGAGGAAAATAACAATGCAAAGCCACTAAAAAATGAATTCAGCTGAACTTGCATAATCCGAACGGTGGAGAATCAGCAGAAAATTCACGAGTTCTTCAAGGGGAGGTTGCAAAAGGGGCGCAAAGAGCTTGGAATGGAATGGCTGAGAAATACCGCCATGTGAACCAAACTCAGTTTAACATTGAAACCTGAATGAAAAACGATGACAGCAGTTTGGCAAAAAAACAAAAAATGAAAAAAAGGCGTATAAAAACCAAACCAAAACAAAAATCGCTCAAAGTCACAGCATCGCAGAAAATGGGGATAAAAGTAGGAATAGTACGGTTTGACAGCCACTAGTTGTAGCGCATCCTAAACTGTGCAAGCACATATGTAGTAAGTTATGCAAATTCATCTTTTATTAAATCTTTTGGAAATTAAAAGCATTCTTCTTGTTGCATGCTTTCAAGACATTGAAGCGTGCGGATTTAGGGAAAATTCCAGCTAAAATCCTAATTGTGCTGCAATTTGAGAGCTCTGGTACTTATGATTAGTAATTCTACGAAAACTGCGTTGTGTACTCAATAATAGGCGTTCTCCTATTGTATGAAATTTCAGGTGCAGCTGGGGATTTGAGTTTCAGCTTAAGCAATTAAAGCCCCTGAACCAACTCCCACGCAAAGTTCGCAAGAATCCTATAAATAGGCGTTGTTGGTACTGATTTAAGATGTAAAATGTAAAATGTTGCCTGTGGTGAGACCATCAATCATCTTACACCAACAGCAACACCTTGAGCAATTGTAAGATATTATAAAAACAAAAAACACAAAAAGGTGAAAAATAATAAAAGAAGGCATACTTCAAAGACAATATCAATTGGCGACGGCGACGCCATGACATCATCATCGCCGCCGCCTTTGCCAGCAAATACCGGCATAAATAAATAAAAAATATTGAAAAATACGCGTACCGGGGAAATTAAAAATATATTACTGCCGATACCCTGGGTGGCGTGGGGTATGCTCAACAATCTGCTCGCGCTATCCTTATGTGGGAACTAAGGGTATTTGGCAATTCCATACTCAACCAGGCAACAATTCAGCTATCGCTTTGGCAAATTGTTTCTGCCTTTTCGTTTTATTGTAATTGTTATGGCTCGGCAGCCAGTTAGCCAAGTTGTCAACTGGTTGTTGTTGCCGCTGTGTTTTCGTTAGCATTTATGCAGATAAAGCCGGTTGTCTCTGGCAACACTGCATATACGAGGTTACAGTAAGATTTAATCAAATTCAGGTATATGCAAAGTTCGAGGTTTAAAGCGCAAATACTTGTAGTTAGGGTAAAACTTTCCCCAAGTTTGTGGAACACTTTAGTTTGTATCAGTTTAACGATGTAACCAGCCTTTAATGTCACCTCGGTCACACCTCCATTGAAGATCTGGTCACATTTTGGCATGTGAGTAGTTGTTTGAAAAACTCTTGGATTAGCAGAACAGTATGTGCTTTTGTCGAGATATGTACTTCCTGTGACGCAGATAACCTATGGACTTGCCTGTTGTTGTCGCAAACGCGTCGAGGATCGCTGAATTTGAATGCCGCGACGCAGGGCGGAGGCGGTGCGCTGGGGCGTGGCGGTGGATGATACAGGTGAGCCGACATATTGGTTGGGGGATTGGGGGCCACCAGCATTGCCAACGCTTCCCATTCCAATTCCATTGCCATTCATATCACAATAGTCGCTGTTGTTATTATTGTTCATATGGTTCTCCTTCTCGTTCTGCTGCTGCTGCTGTTGCTGCAGTTGCTGTTGCTGCAGTTGCAGCTGCTGCGCCGACAGCACTGCAAACTTGGTGGGCGATGTGGCTGCCCCAACGACACCAGCAGCAGCAACTGCAGGCTGCCCATCAGCAACATTGCCGTTGTTCTCCAGCGTTATGTGCAAAGTAGACACGACCATTTTCGAGCTGCACTTTCATCGATCTTTGTCTGTGTGGCGCGGTGCGGCGCGGTGCGGCGCGGCGACAATCTCTCCTAGCAAACCGAAACCGAACCGAAAACGAAACCAAAACCGAAACGGTAACCAAAATGGAAACTGTCACCAGATGCTGCAGCAGCAACTATGCAAATGGCCACGCCCACACCTGGGCAGTGCATAAATTTGCATGGGGAATTTTGAATTGTGTGTTCCAAATGAAATGCAACTTAATGCGCATTTCAACTCAAATTGCTGCTGCTGCTGCTGCTGCCGCTGCTGCTGCAGTGGATTAAAAGCCATAAAAAGCGAAAGTTGAGATGGCCGAAATAGTTCTGGCCCAGACACGCACCGCCAGCACCGGCAGCACAGCAGCAAAACAGCTTTCCTTTCAGCTCGTGTAATTTACAACTATTTACGTTTACACATTTGTTTATTTGTTTATTTATGGGCTTTTTGTTTTTGTTATTATTATTTTTTTCACTTTACTGTTGCTGCCGTCGCTCAGCATTCAGCATTCAGCGTTCAACGTGCCTGAACTCTGGAATGAGCCGTATTGCTGCTGTTGACGCTGCATTTACGCTTGGCACATCAATAACAATAAGAAGCACTCGCACACACATTCACACATCCTCACGGGGAAAAACGAAAAAAACAAATAAGTAAAAAAAAAGTAAAACAGTTCACCTCAACTGTTTATCATTTATATTAAAATTTTTCAGCTGTCTGCTGTAGGTATTTTCTGCTGTTGCTTTCGAGTCGTGAGTCAGAGCAAAGTCCAAAACAGGCAATCACCTGATTGGAGTATGACACAAAAGTATGATATATTACATTGCGCATCTTTTATATACATATTTTTATATGTATTGTGCATATAAATGTAAGTTGCTGCTAAATCATATGCTTTCTTTCATAGCCTCCATTCCATATTTGCAAAATGCAATGTGGAACGAGTGCACTTTATGAGTCAGAGGCGATCCTCTCAATGAAGCATGGTAACACTGTTCTTGAGGCTCTGGTCACATTTCGTTTGAAAGTCCTTTGAAGCGAATGCATACTGAAATTCAGGTTGCATATTTATCTGGTAACATTGGTAACATTGCTGGCCCAGTTTTTTGATCCTGGGAACACTAACACGTTAAATCTTTTGCCTTGTTGGCCTGGCAGTTTGAAAGCTTCTTTATGCTCGTAACCAGTTCATGTTTGCGTTGTTCAGCCAACTTTTTTTCAATAAGGTCTGCCACTTTTTTCGGGATATTTCATTTATTTCACATATTTTCCGTTTCTGTGTTTTTTTGTTGTTGTGTTTTCTCGCTTTTTTGCGGTTACGCGAGCAACTTTCCGTTATGGTTGCAACTGCCACGCCTGTTTTAGCTGTTTTTTCCGTTGCCGCCTGCCCATAAAATGTTGTCGAATGTTGTTGGGCTGCCGTTTGGGGTACTTGGAAATGGTTGTTCGTGTGGCGGCTGGTACGTGCTTTTTGGTCCCAGAATTTTTGCCAGCTATGGGCGGTTTTTGCGAGCCGCGCCTTATTTGCATGGCTCCAATTGCATGGCTCCATAACACAACACAGACACACGTACACAAGCACACGTGCAAAAAAAAAAAACAAACAAAAAACGAAGCCTGTTTCTTTAAAACCTCAGTTTTTCTAAACAAAAGCATTCATTTCCACGGGGAAATGCAGCCATTTAGGTGGAATTTTTGCTGTAGACATACGTATGCATATGGCCTTATCTAATCGGTTATCGGTTCTTTGTCACGCACTTGGCCCGCACAGAAGTACAACAACGAAAAAAAACGTTAAAATTATTGAAAAAATCAACAAAAAATTGCGGCCGATCGCAGAACGCGTAGAAAAACAACTAAAACGCCAATTGAAAATCATAACAAACCAGCGCCGTCAGAAGACGTCGACGTAGGCAGAAGCAGAAGCAGCAGCGGAGCAGAGGCGTCGGCAGAGCCAGTGGAATATGTGGAGAGGGGGCTACTCAGAAGAAATGAAAGAGGGAGCGAGCGAGAGAGAGAGAGACGGAGAGCGAGGGGAGAACAGGTGAGCGAAGAGCTAGAGCCCATTTAAAACTACGTATATGTACGTACGTACTATACATACATATGTATGTGCTAAGCCGGCCTGGAGAGACAAATGCGCAAAAATGGAATGTTTAACTAATTTGCGAACATGCTCAGCCAGAGGCAGGGCTGAGGGGGGTGCTAACTACCGCCGGTGGCAACCGACAGTAGCAACCCCCTTGGACAGCAAACAAACAGAGCAGCAGTGCAGTTCAAATAAGCAGGTTAAATTTAAACAGCGTTGTACACTCTATTTATACAAGATTTACGATAGCGATAACAAGGGCGCGATAGCAATGTCAAACACGATAAATCCCATAAGAACGGCTATTAATTATGACCATGATAAGAGCCCTGAGAGGGTGTAGCGTTAATGAGATTCAATTACACAGCGCCGATAATGCAGTACCATAATCACAACACTGATTCAAAGATACGCTAAAAAGCCTGTGTGGCGCATTATCTAATATATCGCTTGCAATCGAACAGTTATCGCACAAATTCCCTGATAAGGATTATGTTGTTCACCAAGAAATTGCTCATTGATAAAGTATTCCCAATCATAACGATAATGCCCAACGAATTTTGCACTTACTCTGGCCGAATCTTTCGAATGCAAATACCTTTCGAAATCTGTCGTAAGCTGTGGATTTTTACATTTTCCCCTCTCTCCGTAGGCATGAATGCATGAAGGTAGATTTTATGTGCGTTCCCATTATACATTGCCCCCTTTTCTTCTCCCATTTGTGGCTTCGTGCTCCTAATGAGCTTACATCCATAATCACCACCCACCAGCCAACAGCTCTCGCTTTTTACACTCAATAGTGTGTGCTGTTTAATCCTACCAGCTCAATGGCCGCCAAACTGTATGACACCAGTCGCTTTGCAGTTTTCAATTAATTGCATTTGGCACATGTGTTTTCGCCAACACTTCGCCCAATTCTCTTCCAACTTCTCCCTCGTCCGTCTCTGTCGCTCTCGGGACAGGGGCGTGGCTGAGGGCGGAACGTAACAATTCGATTAAAAGTTGCATAATTAATCATTGCATTAAACAACTTTTCACCATCCCTCGTCTCTTGATGGCTTCCTATGAAACAAAGCCTATGGCAAACATTACCCCTCCCCTCTGCAACAACTCTCTGGTGAATCATCAACACCCCGGAAGCCCCCTTGCTACCCCGCCCATGGAAAATCCCACCCACATGCCCTGTAACCTTCCAAATGAATGCGAAATGTTTTACTTTTAAACGGCAGTATAATTCCACTTCCCCCCATATATTACCCCTTTTTAACCAGCTTTTGATCCCCCAACTCTTGCCACTTTCGAGTGCACAGACAGAAAAAGTTGTTGGGCAACTTTTTCACGCCCCCACACACACAATACCGTACTTTAAGCACAGTTACGCCCCTTTGCCCCCGCCCCGCCCCCGTCGTCAGGTTTATTGTCTTTCGGTGCGGTAAACTTTTTAATAGTTTTACTAGTTAAATGCAATGGTCAGGCCGGGGCAATCAAAATAGTGAAAAATTTCACACTTTGTCTTTGTATTTGCTTAGTTTGGTGATCGCTACAGTTGGGAAGCAACTGGCGACGGTCAATGGCCACTGGCACGATGAAGAAGTAACTGAACATTGAGCGACTATTGGGCATAACAATGGAAAGAACGTGGCTCAAACCGGAAGCATTGCCCCCGACATTCATCAAAAAGCCTTTTATTATGACAGAGGAAGTGGGTGAGTGCCTGCTATGAATGCTAATGGGCTGCATGCGGACCAAAAGAAAATTCTAAACAATGGAACTATTACTGGAAATTACCAATTACTTCACTGTACAGTACAGTTGGCATAACGATCATTAGCAAGTGGAAATTCGGATATTTGGGAATTCACAATTTGAGACTTTATCAAATCAATGTAATCATAATCAGCTGGCACTTTCAGCACATAAGCCGTGTTACTTAAGGGAGCCACAAAATGTGTATTTAAAATGATTTTAAATTGGTATAAATTAAATAGCTTGCACAGTTTGGAAATGCGACACTTTTTGTAGCCTAACCAGTGGGCTGCGGACACAAGTCCGTTACAGTTTGAGAGCCACTCACCTGGTACTTCTTGATGCTGTCCAGCTGCTCCAAAGTGGGCTCCACAATCTGGGCGATCTGCTGGTGCTGCAGCGGATGCGTTGTTGCGCCACTGCTGCTCCCGCTGCTCCCATTCCCCGGCCCCCTGCGATCCGGAAGCTGAGGTGCGGGGGAGCAGTTGACCAGCCGCCCGTCCTTCTCCACCCGCAGATGATCACGTGGCGGTGGTACGGGCTTGGCGTTCCCATTGAGCTGTGCAGAGAAGAGCGAAGTATTAGTATATGCATGTCCTTGTTTTCAAGTCGCGTGTGTGTGCCTAAGTGTGTGAGTGTGCTTGTGAGAGTGTGTGTGTATGGCTGATGGCTGTTGGTCATTAAAGTTAAATGAGTTGATTTGTTGCCAGTGTTCTGTGCATTTCCCTGCGTGATGAACACGAAAAAGGTCCTTTCATTGGGTGAAAAGTGCGCATGAAACCAAACCTTCACCTTCTGCCAGAGGCTTGCGAAATGGGGATTGTATTATTTTTGAAAAATATACGTAGTTCTTTCATGATTTTTTAATAATGGATGTTAGCGGCCTTTACCCATGTTTCTATCTTCTTGAAACCTTACAAAAAATAAAAAAAAGGACCTCCCTGAGATTTAGTCTTATTTTTCGGTGTCACTTACTAGCGACAATTGAATACAGTACGTATTTAAATGCATTTCCTTTTTTGATGCCTTTTAGTCAGCACATTGAAACAAAAGGCTGGAAAATAAAGAATATGGAAAACGAAGTCGAAAGCGAAAGGCGCACTTTTTGCTTTTGTTCTGCAGCCATTGGGAAATTAATCGAGAGCAATTTCATATAAATGGCATTTATTTTTCATCGCCTGAAAAGAGCCCAGCGAGTAAAATGGGCAGAGTGGGATGGTAGGTTTTCAAAGAGCTAGCGAGCTGCAAATGATGAAATAAGCGGAACAGCAGGCGGCGGCACCACCGCCACCACCCACCGAGTTGGGGGCTGAACTGGGTGGTTGGTTAGGAGGTGCCGCGAGTGGTTGGCTGGGTGTGTGGCCCAATGTTGTTAGGATTATGGCCCGCTAACGAGGCCAACGCAGCGGCTCTGATGCCGTGAATTAGGCCAACCGGCTGAACAAGGTGACAAGCCGAGTGGTGTGGGTAGCTGAGCTGGTTGGCTGCAGGGGTTACGGGTCACCACCGGATACAAGGATGGAAATCAATGCGTATGCGGTGGTACAAAAAGGGGTTAAGTGGGCACGGCGTAATTAGCCGAGTTGGAGCGAAACGTTTGGGGTCGCTAAAATTATCGATCCACATTTTATACTCGCGTATGTATGGGTCATTCCATAATTTCCGGTTCTCTAATCATTTAATGCCATATTCATGAAACCCAACTGTCATGGTACTCGCTTTCTTTTTTAGTTTTAAATAGCTACCAGCAGGAATTATGTTATCTTTATGGTATTTAAACGCAATTGATTTGGTTTTCATTTGGCTAAAGGTATAGATTATTGCAAATAATCCGTCATAATCGTGGTATTCATGTTCATTTTGCTAATTAAATTGTGGCCAACAATTTGCGTTGTGTTTTACAATAGAGGTAATTAAACAGTTGAAAATAATATAGTTTGGCACTTCTTCAAAATCTGTAATTAATAATATATTATGGTGCACTTAAAATGTTTTGCTTTCATTGGGCTTCAGGGATTACCATTTACCCCTGAACTGCATCAACTGCCAAAACACATCACTGAAACACACTAAATTGAAGGGATTCGGACAGATTAGAGAATCGGAGAAGAGCGAAACGGAGTGGCGGGGGATAGAGACAGAGCAGAGAAGAGAAGAGTGAAGTGGAGTGGAGTGGAGAGTCTCCAGTGAAGAGTTGAGACGGATAGCGAGTACAAAATGCAATGTGGTATACCTCATCGGCCACCCGCTTCGCATCGCCGTCAGCAACGCCAGAAACCGCAGCAGCAGCAGCAACAGCAGTGGCTGCACATGCTGATGTCGTTGATGTTGCTGCTGCTGTTGCTGCTGCTGTTGCAGCTGCTGTTGCTGCTGTTGCAGTGACAGGCGAATGCGACACGCCCATCGAGGAGAGCGTGGTGTGGGCGGTGGAGGCGCTGCCGTTCGACAACAGCGATCCGCGCGAGGAGAGGTGAGCTGGTGGCGGATATCTTGGCGTAGTCTTGACCATCTCGATAAAGCTGTCCGGCACGTCCACGGGCAACTCGCGATGCTTGGCCAGCGGTGGCAGCAACATTGCCACGGGAGCTGCAACCAAATGTTGCTGCTGCTGTTGCTGCTGGCTCACCTCGTAGCCGGGCGGCGCCAGGCTCAGGTCATCGGGCACCGTTGAGCTGCTGGTGGCGGAGGAGGATGATGATGTGGCACTGGCTATGTTGCTGCTGTGCCCGCTGCTGCTGCTGCTGGTGTGCATCGAGCTGTTGCTGCTGTTCAGCGAGTTGCTGTTGCTGTTGCCGCTGCTCGCACCTGTTTTGGCTACCGCTGGTGCTTTGGTCGAAACAGCTGTGCTGTTGCTCGTGTTGCCATTGCTGTTGGTGTTGCTCGTGTTGCTGCTGTTGCCGTTGCTCGTCGCCTGGTGTTGCTGGTGCAGGTGACGATAGGCGATGCTGCCGAAGGAGTCCAGGGTGTGTTTGCTCATCACCTCATCGAAGGCACTCGATGAGGGCGAGGCCGAGTCCTTGCGTCCCTGATACAGCCCATCCACAACGCACAGGAAGTCGTCCGTGATGCTGCTGTTGTTGCTGCTGCTGCTGCCAACGGTGTTGCTGTTGCTGTTGCCGTTCGGATCGCTGCTCAATGTCGCCTGCAACTTGTGGCTGGGCGTCTGCTGTTGTGCCACCTGTGTTGCTGCCACTGCGGTTGTCACTTGGTGTTGCTTCTGTTGCTCATGTTGTTCGTGTTGTTCCGATTGCAGGCAATTTTCATAGTTTTCGATTTGTTCCAATTTGTTTTGTTGTTTTTGGTTGTACAAATTTTGGGTGGCCACATCGAGTGCAATTGTTGTTGTTGTTGTTGTTTTAGATGGGTGTTGTTGTTGTTGTTGTTCATGATGTGGTGGTTGTTGTTGTTGTAGTTGTTCATGTTGATGTGAAGAATGATATGCAACAATTAACATTTTGTTAGCATGATCATTGTTAGTCATAGCTGTGATTGTGGTGGTGGTGGTGGTGGTGGTGCTTTTCTTGTGTTTCTGTGTGCGTGTGGGTTAAGTGGTGGTGGTGCATGTGGTGGTGTGGTGAAAAAAGAATGAATGCATGTGTGAATGACTGATTTGAATGTGAATTGGAGTGGCTTTGGTTAGTTACATCTATTTTTATGTGGGTTGTTGTTGTTGAGTTCTACTTTTGGTAGTAGCATTCAAGGCTTGTTGGTTATAGTACTTGTTAGTTAAGGAAAAAGGCGGGTTGGATATTAGTTGCTGGATTTGTTATTGTTGTGGTTTTTAATTCAAGGGGTTTCCATTGGTCCACTAAGCTTGGTTGTTGTGTAAACGAACTGAACACAGTGTTACAATATCTGGATATGACAATTTTGGTGGTTGCTGTTAATGGGGCTTATGTTTTTTCTAGATTCCAAACATATACAGGTATACACATTAGCCTAAGTGAAGGGGGCGAAATTGGTTAGTAATTCTCGGCATTTGCAATTCGCAAACACTGCCGCCTCGATTTATGCAAAGTTATTGTTGGGCTATGGTTTCAACTGGCTTGGAACTTGTGTGGCTGGGTGTGTTGTGTTGTGGTTCTGTGGTGGTTGTCTGGTGGACTGGGTGGGTGGTTCTTGTACGGATTGCGGATTGCGGATTACGGATTGCGTAGTGCCGCCTATGCTTACCTGTGGTGGACGGGGTGGCGGATATCGGGGTGGCGTCTTGTTGCGTGCGATGAACGTCTCCGGACAATCGACGGCCATCTCACGGTGTGGACCTACACAACATGGCACAGAATGGATCAAAGCGGAACTCCGGTCAGTTCAACGGTCAGTGGACGGGGGACATGTTGGACACTCACCGTTATCTTGGTTCACGGACAGCATGGTCAGCATTTCCTGGTCAATCTCCCTGATGTCGCCCGAGTGCGTGCGATAGTGTTGCTGCTGGAGCGGATGCTGCTGCTGCAGCTGCTGCTGTAGTTGCAGCTGCTGCTGGTGGTTCAGATGGTGCTGGCCGCTTATGTAGTCATCCGGCAGACATGGCTTCAAATCGTCGCCATCCAGCACAACAATGCTCGATCCGGAGCGCCGGCGATTCCTGTCAATCGCCAATGGAACACAAAACGAAAAGAAAAGGTAGACTGCGTCAGTTGAGGTCCGGATACAAATCAGTTAAAACGGGGCAAAGGGATTCCTGGTGAAATCCCATCCAAAATAAAAAGTATTTTCAATAGCTTTAATTGTGCACTTTGACGTGTCTATAAGGTTTAGTAAAATTTCAAATCACTAGATGGTAACGTTGAAATCCAACGAATTGTTGGTAAGGCAAGGGCAAATTGAGCTGCTTTCTATTGTTTAGAGGGATTTTAAATAAGCTAGTTTCGGGTAAAATACTAAAGCTTTGGTTGCACTATGCCAATGCAAACTGGCAGCTTCTGCCGATGGCAGCCATCTTCTTCCCTTTTGGGTTTGGCCCAGGTGGCGGGCACAGTTTGGCAGCCACTGGCCGGGTGTCGGGTGGGCGGACAGCCTCCTTTATTATTTCCAAAAGTTATCCGCACAAAGAGACTTTTTTGGGTTGCTTAGGTACAAGTATTGGTGGCGTACAAGTGTAGGCCAACTTAAAAACTTTGTTATAACTTTGCACTTTTGCGTGGCTCTTTCATTATGCAGGGTGGCAGGGGAAGTGACTGGTTTGCAGGCAATTTGTGCCTTAATTTGTTCGGCTTTTGGATTATGAGCTTTACTTGTGGGGGAACAGTGAGTGGACTAGGGATTTGGAGCATGTGGATGTGTGCCAAGTCGGCTGGCTAATTGCAAAAAGCTCAAAGTGTATTTAATGCCAGACCAGCCTAGAAGTATGCACCTCCATTCAGCTCCCAATTCCCAATCGCTTTATCGCCCTTCTCCAGGCGCTGATGCGACAAAAGCAATTTCAGCCGCAGCCTGGCACCGACATTGGAGTGCATTCTTAAGCCTATCTTCATCACCATCACCATCACCATCCCCGGTTCCAGCTGCTGGCATCCCCTTTGGGTAATGATGAACGTCAGTGGCAGCAGCTCCAATACCTGACCCACCCACAGACTCGCACCGAGTTGAACTTTCGGCATTTTTCAGATCAAAGAGGTCATATAAATGCATTTCATGGACCACATATGTATGCATAGCGCAAAGTAAAATGGGTACGACTAGTACTGAATATAAGAGTTTGGTTTAAATGAATTCGAATTTTTGGGGACAAGGTATTCTCTTATGGTTCTTAACTTTTACGGCTGAGTTTGAATGAAGCTTATCAACCATTTTGTGAATATGTGCTAGATTTATCAACCATTTTCCGACTATGGGCAGCTGGGCAATGGAAATTCTAATAGAGAACCGGATGTTCCGTGTCCAGCTTTCAACTGCACTTCATCTACAACTTAAGCACTTCCTGCACATCTTCCAGCGGAATTCAGTTCCGTTCAGTTCAGTTTAGTTCCGTTCAGCTTTCTCATCGAGATGATCTGTCACACAAGGGCTGTGCAGGGCATTAAAAGCCGATTTCTGGAGAATGTAACAAGGATGGCCAGCCAAGATGGCCAAGGCTCCCTTACGGCCAAGAACAGGGAGATGGTTGCGCTGCAGATGGCAAGGCAAGGGCGCTGAGTGGAGAGAATGTGAGTCCAACACGAGGCAACGGGCGAGACAATTCAATTTGCGTAACAGCAGAGGACCAGTAATGGCAGGAGTGCCAGCTGGAGGTGGGGCATGGGGACTGGGCTGGGTGGGTGGTCTCCAAGTGGGGAGGGAGTCAAGTCAGCGGGCAGCGCAAATGAGTCAAAAAGACGATAAGAAAGCACTGATGGAGGGCGGTGTGGGTGTGGCCTGCGGAGGAGAGCGCACCATAAACGAATTAAAATGCCTTTGCCTTTGCCTCTGACATCAAGTATCGACCAAGGCCAGTCGCCTAGTTGCAGCAGCCACATTGCAACAGCAGCAGCAGCAGCCGCAGCAGCGTCTGATTGTGCAAAAATAGCTGGTCAGCTGTTCAGCTGGTCAGTCCATTGCTATTTTTATCCGCCTCATCAATCTGTCGACCTCTGAGGAGCCTTTGGCAGCAGTTCTCCCTTTGGCAGATGTTCGATTAGGGACGCACAAATTCTGCTCTTCTAGCTTGAAACACAAACCGAAGCTCAGGCTGCCTATTTTCTAAGGTATCTTTAAATGAACTTAAAGACATCGCTCAGCAAAACTGGCGACAGCCGTTCAATCGGCTGCATTGTAAAAGTCTGAAAACGATGAAAACGCTCCGATTCAATTCAATAACATCCTGTATACACAGGATAACCAACTAAATTAGTGAGATGGGGAGTACGAGTGGCATATCAATCGGCTTGCTGGCTCATATCCCTATTTTGCCAGCAATTAGCAGCGACCATAGCCGGCAGCTATCTGTCATGCATCTGATTGTCACTCCGACATGCTCCATCCAATGACCGCATCGGTGCTCACACTCGCACTTCAATCCCCAATCTTTAATCCCATTGCCATTCCCAGCGCCCCATTCGTATCTGTGTCGCTATCGGTATTCGTATCTCGCTCTCTCCATCTATCTGTATCTGTATCTGTGTCATAACAAGCACAGCACTGCGAGATGCCCACAGATAACCCCCGTTTCCCCACTTCAAACACAGCACCCCATTGGATGGGATCATCAATAACCCGGAGGGGCGACAGCGGGTGGTGGTGGTCACTGAATGGCACCAAGGAAGCTGTCAAAGTGGGCAATGCAATTCATACAATCGATGACAAGGCAATGGCATTTTGCATAACGGCCTTGTCTTTATATCAATCGCAAAAATATTTGAAACATTCCTCTGACAACAGCTAGATCTTTAATCAATATTTGTTCTCCACGCTTGCAATAACAGTGGCGGATATTTACGTAGCTTCAAGATGAAAGTAAAAAGTATCAAGTAGTGTAATGTTACTTGAAGTTACAAACGAGTATTATTATACTACCTCCATAATGGTATCTCCAACTTCCCGCTTGATTGAAAATTGCCTGCGCTTTTCTCGCAGTGCACATTCCCGCCCGTTAAGGATGGCAATTAGCCATGCTGGAGGGCGGTCGGAAAAGAGGGCGTGGCAGCTGGACAGCGACGAAAGGAGACAGATACACGCAAACAACACATGGGGAAACCATTCAATGTATTTTGCATTTCCAGCTGGCCATCGGTGTGTGTGTGTGTCTGTGTGTGTGTGTAGTGATGTGAGTATGAGCAACTGAGCAGAAAAGCAACACACATTGTTGTTGCTGCTGTTGTAGTTGCAGCACGACAGCAACATGCGACATGTTAATTGTTTACGGCCAGCAAGCGAGCACGAGACAAAAGTGCGGGGGGTTGGGCTTATAAACAATTGCGGACAATGAAATAGCATTCAGTGCGCTACATATTTACATAATGCAGCTCTTAAAGTAGCTTAAACTCCTAATAAAGTGTTTGAAACTCTATCGCTGTGTTTCAAATCATTACTGATATTTGTATTTTGTTTCGAAATTTACTCTGAGCTGCATATGTTAACCTGAATATCTAAATATCTAAACCTGATATGTAATGCCCATTTGGAACTTGTGTTCCACACCACGAGTATATCAAACCAATGACAACAGGTGGACGGAGGGATATCCCCTACAGACCGATGTAGCCGGCGATTTTGGGAGGGTTCATGCTTGAGGGCTTGTGGCAACAAGTGGCTGGAACAGGTGCAGTCCGAGAATCGGACGACGTGCACTGGGGATCGTGAATCCGGAGCTGGGAATCGTTGTAGGGGCGGGACCGGAAGAGGCTTATTTGCAGCGGAAGTGGCAGCCATGAGTCACCCGTTGCATCGCATTCCAGACCACAATCCCCCATTTACCATTTACCATTCAACATTTACAATTGCTCCTCAGGTAGAACCTCCTCAATTCGACCGGAATTCGTGGGTGTTGCCCTGGCCAGAACCGAACTCAGCTCGATGATTTGATTCAAACTCTGGGCTCAAAACTGGAAGTGAAACTCAAACTGAGTGGAGATCGTAATGGATTGCGGTTGTGTTTGGATGTGGCTCCAGGAAAAGTGTTGGGTAAGCAGAAGCGGTGATGGCGACTTGGGCGGAGGGGGTTTCCTTACAATATACCTTATATATATACATATATCTGAAGCTGAAGCTGAAGCAGAAGCTGGCATTCCATTTGAATTAATCATTGCCAAGGCAGCCACATGGGATTGAAAGTGGAAATGGCAGTGGCACTAGCAGTTGGATCTGGTTTAATTGCCCAGCAAACCAAAATCTGGAGTAGTGCCATAATCGATAGTTAAAGCACCGATAAACAATGCATGTGTATTATTTAAGATATTCATAACAAAAAAAAACATTTAAAAGCTTATAGTTTCTATTCACAACTTGTACACACGTCTTGCTCAGTGCTAACTCAACTCTTGGACAATTTTGCAATCACATCATCGATGCCGCTCAATTGCACACTCGATTTCCCCCCTCTTTCAAATAAAGTTTTCCTGGAAATGCCAGTGTAAAAATTCATAAGCAAATAATGGTCAGGTTGGGGCATTTCCTAAGAATTAATTAAAACCCAAACACAAAGGCAGTCAAGGTGAAAAGCTCTTTTCGCCCCAAAAAGGGGGCTCTGAATGTAAATGCAATATACTTATAGGTAAGATGGTACATATATATATATACCCATTTAGACACCCAAGCCAAAAGCTGAAATTTCATTTTCAATTTACCGAGAGGTGTGGGTAGTGTGGGCAGTGTGGGCGTTCAATTAAAGTTTAGTTGAACTCATTTTGCCATTTGGCAAATTGAAATAAAACTTAATTGATTGTGGGCTGCAGTTGTGCATTGAAATCCCTACTATCCCACTATTCGTCCTCGTGCCTTCGTCCTCATTGCCCCCAGGGGCTTCCCCTCGAGAAGCCATGAAAATTCCAAGTGGCGAAAGAGGTGAGAGAGTCCTGATTGCGTGCACTTGAAGGGGGTGTGGGAGGTGAGTGTCCTGATTGCACTCAGGTGACTCGGAGCGGGGTGGAGGGTGGTGGGTGGTGGGGCTTA